ATAAATAAAGCACAAAAAGCCAATTGCATTTTCACCCTCCAATCAGAGCCTGTGTGAATTCTCCTGAAAACCCATCCATAATCCTCCATTTCCTGATTCCTGAACACTAATATTTTTTCAAGCTAGATCATCCTGCCTAGGATTTTATGATAGTCCCCTGAGACATGGTCAGCGCTAGCTTTTGTGCCACACGTGCTTCCAATTCTTCCCAGAACTCTTTTTCTTGGTCTTTCTGAGTGCCAAACATCTTCACACATCTAGATCTGCCACTCTCACGCCTCCCACCGAACTGTAGACGTGCTTTAAGACGGGACTTTTTAAGGAGATGTTTTCCCCTGCACTCAGTACAGGTCAGTTTCTACAGAACTCTTGACATGAATAATTTTTAATCCACTTCAGTCAGCTCTTTTAGCCTGCCTTCGCTTTCTATATTCTTCTTTTATTGATCCTCCCTTGTTCGCTACAAACATTTTTAGCCATTTTGTCTAGCATTTTCGACCTACATTTTATCTCAGACAAACATAATGTCCCCATTTTTACAGAATGTCTTTTTCACACCTTTCTATTCACTTCTACAAACAGTAATCTCATTCGTCCTACAGATTTATGTTATTGTCCACAAAGTACGATGGCTAAAATGTTCACAGTTAAAGGCAAATATGCCCTTGTTAGAAGCTAATTATGTCATGAAACTCTAGATGGCGCATTCTGACGGGGTGTTAACGTAACTGATGATATTCAGAGAGTTAAACGACTTGGCACAAGCTGATTGGTTCATGCTGCATATGCAGCCAATGAGCTTACTGCCTTGCATTTATATGGCTGGCTAGCATTCACTAGAGATTCCTGCAGCGCACTTTCAGAGTTTCTCTGAAACCGTCCACCTTCCCCAGCTCCACCTGTATTGATCTGCTACGGGGTTATTTTATATGCTATTTGTGCAGCAGCAGTATGTCTTAAATACTCATGGCACCGTATCACCATATGCATTGGCAGTAGCAAGTTCCTGTACTTGCTTGCAGCAGCAGCAATACTCTACAACTACAGCAATAACCAACAGCAGCAGCAATTCAGCAGCAGCGTAGCAGATCTGTTCCGCCAAGACCAAATACATTAACATTGCCATATCCATCACCATGCTAAAATGTTCCGGGAGTTGTCATGATTGAACTATATTTTATTGTACAGGAAATGTAACTTTAAATGAAAATATATTTTTCTTATGCATATAAAATATAATGATTAAAATTAAACAAACAACAATGTAAGTGGGACAAATACAAATCTGAACTACTGGCCTGATCTGGTCCTCACTACTTGAGCCCTGTTCCTGTCTGCCATTGGTTGGACAAACACATAGCCCCGCCCTCAAACTGATACCATTTTTTGAGCCAGTGTTGCTATGTCAGGATGAGATGCTCAAACCAAAAAAAAGCATTGTTTTGATGCCACCAACCAACAGTGTTTACTTTTCAGGGGCATCAACCTACGAATGGCTTACTTATAGTTGTCTCTGTATATTAAACTGGGATATGAGAAAGTATTTCAACATTATAAAAATACAAACCTCACTTTTAATAATGCTGCTGTTTTAGTCAACTACTTGTGATTCTGGTTAACTCCTTTTTCATAATATTTGCTTTATCGAAGACAACAATTCTTCTGACTGAGGTTTAAACAATTTATATGCTGAGCCACATGAACGCTTACATTTATTATAGCCATTTCACTTCAAGTGCAATGTAAATCATGCAGGCGAGCAAACACATTTCCTCTGTGTTCCTCATTATGTTTCCATTAGTGCAGAATGCAGCTAAGAATGTCTTTACTGACAACAGAAGAGATACTGCGCATGTCATGCATGTATAAATCGGGTGCTAAGTTGTAAGCAGGCGGAATCTGCAGACTTTGTTTCCATTTTGTAACAGATTTTTATGGATTTAAATATGGTAAAATGTGCTTAATGGTACTCTTACATGTATTTAAAGCTGAAAGTGTTATAAAAGTAAAAATGTTTAATAAATTAAATACTAAGTTCTGCATGTGCAGATCCCATGTGGGCATGGTTGTACGCAATAAGTTTCTGATAACAAGAGTGTGCATGCGTTCTTGGTTTATTTAGCTTTCAGAGTTCTCTGAAACCCTCCACCTTCCCCAGCTCCACCTGTATAGATCTGCTACGGGGTTATTTTATATGCTATTTGTGCAGCAGCAGTATGTCTTAAATACTCATGGCACCGTATCGCCATATGCATTGGCAGTAGCAAGTTCCTGTACTTGCTTGCAGCAGCAGCAGCAATAATTTACAACTACCGCAATAACCAACAGCAGCAGCAATTCAGCAGCAGCCTAGCAGATCTGTTCCGCCAAGACCAAATACATTAACATTGTCATATCCATCACCATGCTAAAATGTTCAGAGAGTTGTCATGTTTGAACTGCATTTAAATAAAGTCACTGTAGTGTCTTGCTCAAGGCCATCTTGGAACGAGCCACGCATTTAGCAATGATGTGTGGATGCAATGATGTGTGGATGTGTGGGTTAATTGAAAGATTGGGAAAAAATGAAATGAGATAAAAGGTCGACTTCAGAAATGGCCTCATAATCCTGTCAGAATGACCCACTGGTGAATTACAGTCAGTTACTTGAATCATATCTTATTTGACTAAGAGCATTTAAAGACAAAATGCACAAGTGATTCTGACAAACAAGACAATGACAGAAAGGAGTGGCTCATTAGATGATTTACTGTGATTTACTGAAAGAAACCTGCTTCAAATTCAGAAACACTACCCTTGAGGAGAAAACAATTAACACCTGAGGTCATAAAGATATCATAAGATGCAGAATGGCTTATTGTTTTACTCATATCTTCACACAACCCTTTGATTGTTGCTCATGATTGAATGGTTCTGTTGATATAAAGAATCATCTCACAAAAATAAGAAAAGAAATCCTATAGGCTAATGGCGATGATAGTGGTAGTGCGCCGGCAAATGACCGTGTTTGTGATTATGATAATGATGACAGCAACAGCATTACATAATTAGCGTAGCCATTAACCTCTGGTAATACTGCGAAACCAAATATGGTCAAGTTTGTTCACAGTAATCACTCATGTTATGCATCTGCTATAATTTTGTGATAATAATCTGGCATGATATCATGTTTCCAATGATCCAGAGCTCAATGCCTCAGACATTTGCAGACCACACATCTCTGATGTCTTGCCACATGACCGAAGAAAAGGTTACAAGTGAAGCTGCCGCAGACAGTCTGACAACGAACGTCTGACAACGCAATCATTAAGAACAAAATTGCCCTCTGAGCTCCAACTTTCTCATTATGCGCCAACCCTGCTGTAGAAATAAACACAGCACTGTTAAAACAGATTAATATAATTAAGCCAACACTGCAGCGGGAAGTCAAAGAACTTGCCTTTGAGAATATGTGTGATTAAAATGGATAACAAAGACAAACACATACAAACACAGTATAGGAGAGAAAGAACAGGACATTGAAATTTTTAATTGAGAAATTAACACACTGCAGATACACAACTTTAAAAAAAAAAATTTTCCCCTGGGTTTGTGGCAATAATTCAATATCAGGCTGACCGGAATATGAGACTGTATTTATATGGATGGAAATGGATGGAAATGGTAGTTTAGTTTTACCTCAAATGTCACAGGTCAAGAGTTCGAAATGGCTTAGGCTATGTGTTGCATTGTTGTGATGACACATGATCTGTCATCCTGTGCCAAGTGGGTTTTTTTTGTAAAAAAAAAAAAAAAATGTTTATACATGTGTGATCCGCTTCTGTTGCTTTAGTTGGGACACGTCAACAGGTGGATTTTTGTCCTGCACTTGTTGGACGGCTACATTGCTTAGTGACATCACGCGCACCTCAAATTACCGCAGATTCGATGCGGTGTTGAGGAAAACCTCATGATTGTAGATGCCTCACTGTCACAACGCTTTACAAATACACCACGAACGAACCGTCTTAAAATTAACACCAAAAACCACCTTTCCTTCATATTTTAATCTGAGAACACATGATGTTTACTGTGACGCCAGTCGCTGTACAGTGGCGCATGGATGTCCACTCTACCGAGAGGCATTCGCATGAATAATTTACCTATTTTCCGTACTAGTATATCCCACTACTACACAGTGGGAAAGTCCCACTGTGTAGTAGTGGGATATACTAGTACGGAAAATAGGTAAATTAGCAGGATTGTAAGCCTACATAAGACAAAGCTACGGAGGTTTTCTCTTTCTCACCTGAATTTAATCTACTTCAGATGCAAAGACTTGTAGACTCTACAAATATTACTGCGGTGCTGAAGGGAAATAAGAGCGCAGCTTCTTAAAGAGACAGTTAAGCCCCCCAAAAATATTCTGTCATTTAAACACTCCCGTGTTGTTTTAGACTTCAGAACACAGAAAGAGATGTTAGATAAACTGACAAGCTCAGTCACCACTGACTTTTATAGCATATTCCCATACAATAAAAGTGAATGGTGACTGAGACTGTCATTCTGCTTTACATCTACTGACAGAAACAAAGAAAGTCATAAGGGGTTTGTAATAATATGAGGGTGAGTAAATTAGTTTTTGGGTGAAGTGTCCTTTTAAAATGACTAGACGCAACATTATTGAGACACACACACACACACACACACACACACACACACACACACACATTTAGGAGAATTAAAATATAAGCTTTGAATGCCAGTTTGTAAAAAGAAAGATGAATGATTTATGTTGAAAGTGCTTATTTCCAATATCCGCATCCGATATGTTGATTGATTACTCTGGAGAGGGCGCAGCTTGTTGCAAGTTCAAATGAGATGTAAGAGTCCATAACCCCCTGATACTGCTGCAATATGACTGTCAGAGTAACCTCCACAAAACAACATCTGGTTTTAAATATCTGAATGTAAATATCAATATCTAAACGTATAAAATATACAGTAACTGAATGCTTTACCGTTGGTTGAAAGTCAACAGTTTGTTCGCTGCAGGGTCTGCAGCGCTCATGGCCCCATGCGATGTTATTCTCTCCCGCAGTCCAAGTTCTCCTGTCTCTCGCCTTTTTTTCTTAGTCTTCTCTTTCAAAGAGATAGATTAGTAACATCATAGTCCCTACATGCTGCTCGTGCTGCTGTAGCCCTTCATTGCGTTGCCTTTTTAGTATTGGTAACTCGTTTCTGCCGGTCTCTTTCTAAATGCACTTGATGGACGCAGTGGTTAGTTTCTTATGGACACATAGCACACACCTCGCGCGTAACTGAACATTCAAGAAGCAGATTCTCGCGGACTGGAGTCCCCTCGCGGCCGTGCGCTGTGCTCGTGACCGAGAGAGTCAGATGGGGAGCCTGTTAACAGCATATTCTCTATCTGTCTCTTTATGTGTGTGTGTGTGTGTGTGTGTGTGTGTGTGTCAGTCAGTGTTACGTTGCCAAATCAACAGACCCGTAACAAAATAAAAAAAAAACGAGAAAATATGAAAGTATAAAAGACACTAAATTAAAGCTATGAACCAAATAACATAAAAATCAGCATACTGTAACACTCCAGTACCAATTATAAAACGACTCATACTTTAATTTGTATATTAAAACAGCATAATAATATAAAAGCGATAAAAGCTTACATAATACAGTTAAGTATAATATATTACATTTTTTCATAAAAATATAAATTCAATTTTTAACAATAATAGCATATTTTATTATGTTTATTGTCTTTAATTACATTTACTGTCTTTGCAACAAATACAACATAATTTTTGTCTTGTAAGGAAACTTAGAGTTAAATTAATTAATAGGGTTTTTACTGTGTTTAACAGTGTAGAAATAGACAAGACAGGGTTCTGTCTCTCTCTGTCTTATACATACAAAAACACTTGGTGAAATATTTTAATTAGAATATTTAATTGCCTTTGTGGCAAAGTGATTTAAAGGGTGAAAGATTATTATTAATTGAGTGTATTCACTGAAATACTGAGCAGCTTTTTATTAGAACAATTTCCTTCCATGTCTGTTAGTTTTGCTGTCAGCCTCATTTTTTAAGCATTTACACAGCCACTGCCTATGGTGCGTTGAACAGCACGTAACGCTACCCGAGATCATCATGCTGTAGAGCCAGACAGCTTCTCATTAAGATGCTCATTTACATTAGAAAGATTCAGGCTTGCATGATTTTTAATAATGCCACAACTGGTGACTGTGACTTACAGCTGCTTGATCATGGCAAAGGAATAACTGTTTGCATCAGCTCTGTATGCAAACACATTACTTTATGAGGTGAGTCCATGCAAATGAGGATAACCATAATTTCCACTGAAAAAGGCAGAGCATTAGCCATATCTGTTTGCATGCACGTGACATGTGACTGTGTGCATGTTTAGGCATCTGTCTCCAAGGATGCTGTACACTTTGCATTCACAAAATGAACAGTAACACCATACAATGACAAGCATCCCTCCTCCTGTGTATGTGTTTCTAGACAGTGTTTTTTCCCCCCATATGATCTCATAACCTTCATTCTTCTTCCCGTTGTCCCAGGTCTACCCATAATCCTTCTGTCTAGCACAGAAGTGAGGGGCGCAATGAGGTCATTGTTCAGACAATAACCTTTTCTTCTCATTTAATCTCTCTCTCTTGACTCACTGTCTGATGATGTCACACACTCAGACACATCTCCATGCCTGTTCCGTTCTCACCTGCACATGCAGAACATCTAACTCTTTAAATGCTAGACAGTTGGTGAGACAGAGAGAAAGTGAGATTATGAGAGTCTTGAATATATTTAGTAATAGAAGAATCTTGGGATATGTAGTAGGAAGTGGGCGGAGACTAAGTTCAGACTGTTTAATGCTTTTCATCACTATTACTAGCAGAACGGCATGTTATCAGCCAAACTGAGGCATGCAGTAATAGACTCCAACACAAACGTAACATGAGCAGTGTGTATCTGGTATTTAAATCCCTCCCTGATTACATCACAGGTAGTAATGGATGATTAGGAACAGGTAATGATTTTGGAAACCATATTGAGAGAAAAATTGGGATGTGTGATTAAAACGTGTGTTTAAAGGGGTCATATGATGCTGCTAAAAATAACATTATTTTGTGTATTTGGTGTAATGAAATGTGTTTATGCGGTTTAAAGTTAAAAAAAACACATTATTTTCCACATACTGTACATTATTGTTTCTCCTCTATGCCCCGCCTTTTTGAAACGCGTCGATTTTTACAAAGCTCATCGGTCTGAAAAGCGAGGTGTGCTGTGATTGGCCAGCTATCCAGTGCGTTGTGATTGGCTGAATACCTCAAGCGTGAGACGGAAATGTTACGCCCCTCACCATACTGTGATGGCATGTCACAGCCGGAGCGACGACACAAAAACATTAAAACCCATTACAAACGAGGCATTTCTTGCATCCAGTGGGGACATAATTACAGATTATAATGACTTATACTGTCTTTTTACGCGTTGCGTTGCATCGCGCCGCGTAAACAAAACCATGAATGCATTTGTGATTGGAGAAATGACAAACAA